CCGACAAGCTACCGGAGGACTTCGTCCGCATCGTGAAGGCGGCGGTGCCGGTGAAAGAGCCGCCTAGCGCTGCCGCCACCCGTGCCGGGCCGCCGGACGACATCGACATCGGCATGATCCCCGCGGAGGGGCTGCAGCCGCCGGAGCCGCAGTTGCCGCCTGTCACGTTCAAGGCCAAGTCGGCACGCGGCCTCGCGATGATGCACGGCGCGGACCACTTCTCGCCCGTAACGCTGGACGCAAAGACGCTGATACGGAAGGTCTTCAAGGAGGCACCGAGCAACGGGGCGGAGCGGCGCGACTGCCGGCGGGAGCTGCAGCCAGTGGAGCTACTGCGCATCGCTGCGCCCATCAAAGTACTTGAATACCAGCGGGTCACAGTCGGCTCCACTTCAACCAAGACGTTCTTTCTGTACAATGGAACCTCCGCGTCGGTGCTGGCGGCGATGCCGACGGAGGAGGCGCATTTGTCCTTCGCGCCCACCTCACAGGTCATTCCGTCCGGTCGCGCCGCCGCCTTCGACGTGAGCTTCTACAGCTCGGCAGTTCAGACATACCAGCAGGTGGTGCAGATGACCATCAACGGGCGCCATATGCTACGCTTCACGCTGCAGGCTGACGTGGTGCCAGTGGAGGTCTCCCTCTCGCGCGACGACGTCGTGCTGCACTTCGCCGACTTTAGTGACGATCCCGTGGCACGTGCGTCTGTTGTGCTCTCCAACCACGGCAATAGCGAGGCGGCGTACACGTGGGAGCTGGGAGGCGGTGGCAGTGGGGGCGGCCCGTTCACCATTACACCAATGTCCGGGTCGATTCCTTCAATGAGTAAAGTGACGGCGCAGGTGACGTTTAGCCCATCGCAGAGCATACTCCACGCGGAGTCGAGGGCGGAGCTGCACGTGAAGGGTGCAACAGCGGTGAAGGTGCTCAACCTGAAGGGTGTCGTCGCCCCCACGTCGTGCGTGTGGGTCGGCAGTACACCAACATCATCAGTGGGTGAGCACGTTGTGGAGTTGCGACAGGTGCCTGCTGGCCTGCCGACAGCCACCACCGCCACGCTGTACAACAGGGGCCGTCATAGCGCCTTTTTCTCCTTCGAGTCACTGCCGGAGTGGCTGACAGTAACCCCGATGGTTGGCCGCGTGGGGGCTGGCGAGTCGGAGGATATCACCCTCACCGTGCATCACGACACGCCGGGTGTGCTGCACACAGTCTTGCAGTGCTGCGTGCGCGGCATGAAGCGGCCGATGAAGCTGCGTCTCACCGCAGAGGTGTGCATTGCCCCGCTCAGCATTCTCGACTCGGAGCGGCAAAACGGAGCAGTGCTGCTGGCGTTCGAAACCGTGTACATTGGCACCGAGAAGGCACTCCCGGTGCGATTTAGCAACAGCGGCGATGTGGCGGCTGTCATCCTCGTTGACTTGCGTCACCACGTAGAGTACACACTGCGCTGCCCTGACGACGGCGCAGCGTCACTGGAGTGGCGGGGGCACAGCGAGCCGGTGCCAGGCGTTGTGTTCGTCACTATCTCGCCGCGTAGCGAGGCGACCGTGCTGGTCGTGTACACGCCCACCACCACCACGGGCGATGAGCGCTTCTTTGTCAAGTGGCGGCACGTCGGCGCGGATGAGATGAATCCGCTGCTGCCACTCACTGTTCTTGGGCGGGCGATGCTGTCGAAGGTGGTGGTCAAGCGGCAGCAGCTGGAGTTCCCCCGCACTGTCGTCAACACACCCGCGGTGCCCTTGTCGCTCACCATCGAGAACACCTCCGCGGAAGAGGTGAAGTGGGAGTTGCTGCTGAGCCACGGCATCAACAGCATCAGCAACAGAAACAGCGCCTGCGGCGGTGTCCAAGATGACAATGACGACGACAAGAAGAATAAGGACGCCAGCAAGGATGGAGTGTTCCACATGAGCCCTGACAGCGGCACGTTGGCGCCGCACACCAGCCAACTGGTGCATGTAACGTTCATGCCGATCACTATCGGCCACCGGCAGGAGCGCTACTGCGTGTACCTCGACGGTGACAAGCGTCGCCCGTGCGCCGAGGTGCATGTATCGGGCTTCGCTGCTCTGCCACGCATCGTCTGCGACCGAAATGAACTCATCTTCCCCGCCATCCCCCTAAACGTTTCGGTGCAGGAGACAATGTACATTGCAAACGACGGCTTCGACTCCATCGAGGTGCGCTACAAAAGCAAAGAGTCTGGCCCACTCAACGTTACATTCCCCCGCGGAGCTATCGCCATGGCCTCCTCCTGCATTCCTGTGTGCGTGGAGTTCTGCTGCCCGAAACCGGTGTCATTTGTGTCATCCATCACCTTCACATCGGACAAGGGTGAAACACTCACGATTCCTGTCACTGGCACCGCCGTCAACTCGTTTCTCACCGTCGCCCCGTATGTGATGTATCAGCGTGGCCGCTCCCACTTCGGTGCTGCTCTTCCTCCAGTGAAGGAGGGGAAGAGTGAAGGTGAGGAAGGGGAGGAGGAGTGGACTCAGTCACTCATGTACTACGATGACGCCCCCGCATTTACAATGACCACCTCCATCAATGTCGCTACGCCTAGTTCTACCTTGCGAAGGAATGGGGTGTCTCCAGACTTTCACGAACAGAACTTACCCCCTACGACCGGCCCCTTCGGTTTCGTGGACGTTGTTGGGCGAGAGATGTACACCCGGCAAGACATTGAGAATCTCCGGCAGTGGTTGAATCACAACATACTTTTAGAGCCCGCCACAGACCTCGTGGGCCTACTACAATCAACGGATGGCCGCCCGCTGCTCGATGCAGCGTACCGGCTAAGCGGGAGGCGGCCAAAGCGGGTGAGCCGACCGAGCGCGAGGGGTCGGTCGCTCGCAGCGCTCGAGACGCTGACATCACTGATCAAGTCAAAAGGGGGATGTCTGAGTGACGTGCGGCTACCGTACCTGATGATGTATGACACGTACTGCCGGCACCAAGAGAGCTGCGGCATGGAGGCAATAACACAGGCCGCATTCGCGGTGCGTGCGGTCCACGCCTGGGTGACGGTCGTGCTGCAGCTCATCCGTGCCTTCTACCTCCCCAAGGTGGACGTGGCCGCCGCGCTGCAGGCTTACCCCGCGATGAAGACGTACGTGCCGCAGACGCAGTGGGAATCCGCGCCGTTCCAGGCCGCGCTCCACAGCAGCAACGTGTTCAGTTCGGAGGAGGCCACACTGCTGCATTGGGTGGCGCACAACCTGAGCAGGTGCGTCGAGGAGGGCGTAGTAAAGGGGCCGCGGCGCAGCATCTGCAGGTTCGACGATCTGCGCGACAGCGTCGGTATGGTGGCCTGCATTCTAGCGTATGTGCCGTCGGCGGCCACACGTCTGTCGCTGGAGCGCCTTGTCCCGGAGCCTGCGACACAGTCAGAGATGGAGAACAACGCAGTGGTGCTGGCGGGGGCACTGGCATACGTTGGTGTCCCGCTACGCGCAACACCGCGCGAGATGCTTATGTACAACACGGTTGACTGGATGCTGTTGAGCGCGACGCTCTTTCTCTACCTGCCACGCTTTATCCCGACAACCGTCATCTCGCTGGAAGGGAAGCTGCTCGCGCCCATGACGCGGGCGGTGGAGGTGGCGAACACATCGGCCACAGCGCGCAGTTACACAGTGGAGATGAGCAACACGGCGTTCCGCGCGCTGCCCCAGGAACTTAGCGTCGACCCCGCCGCGGCGGCACACATCGATGTGGAGGTGACGCTGCGTTTCAACCGCCGCATGGAAGGCGAGTGCGTACTCGTCGACACCTCCGCGAGCCTCATGGAGGAGCGCGCACCCATCGTCCTGCGCCTCGTCGCGGTGCCGAACAACGAGCCGCTGCGCGTCATCCATGTGCAGACGCCGCTCTACACGATCCTCAACCATGAGATCCAAGTGGAGAGCCCATTCGCGCAGAACTGCGTCGCTACGTTGCGCCTCTCGCAGGACTACACAAACGACGCCAACTATAGCGAGGGTGACTTCGGTAAGTCACTGCAGAGTGCTTTCTACATCTCTGCCGGTATCGTGCCGTTTCGCAGCGGCGAGGTGACAAAGCTGTCGATGCAGTTCGCTCCATGCGCCCGCGGTAGGTACGAGGCCAGCATCACATTTCACGACGAGCAGCAGGGCGAGTTCTCGTACCTCGTCATCGGCACCTGCACGCCTCCTAAGCAGTCGGACAAGGCCACCACCCGCGCAGAGGCAGGGGAGGAGTGCACACACACGGTACTTCTGAAGCCGAGCAACGCCCCATTTGAGCGTATGATGCGCTCGCTCGAAGACAATCGCCGCTCCCGTACGCCACGCCCCACGAAAGGGCCGCTTATGCCGGAACTAACAGGTGTGCCCTACACCGTCACCTTCGTTAATGAGGCGAACATAGGCCCGAACCCATTCTTCCGAGGTCCTGAGAGCATTACATTTGCCACGGGGGAGTCAATGTTTCCACTGACGTTCTCCTTTCTCCCCAAGTACCTTGGTGAGTATAGCGGTTTTATCGTTCTTGCCTCCAAGTACGACGTGCGCACCATTCATATCCTCGGTAAGTGTGTGCCTACCGGTGACAAGGGTATCCTGCGATTCGCCTGCCCAGCGCGGCAGTGCATTACGCAGGGCGTGCCGATCTTTAACAACAGCAATGAGAACTGGCTGGTCACGGCGACAGTGGAGGGGGCGGGCTTTGGCGGCCCCAAGGAGCTGCGCGTGCCGCGTGGGAAGCACCGCGACTACCCGCTGCGCTATAACCCCGCGTGGGTTTCCTCTGAGAAGGGAAACTTGACACTCTTCAACAACGAGACGGGGGAGCGGCGCATTTACGCGCTCCTCGGCGAGGCGGAGGAACCCTTGTCAGAGGACACCATCGTTGTGGAGTGCCGCGCCCGTGAGCGACGCACTGAGACGCTGACGGTGCCTGACATCAACGGCGCCGATGCGATGTACAACGTCGAGACGGACCTGCCCTTCGCCAGTGGAGAGTCATCGGTACTGGTGCGACGCGGCGCCACTGCTAAGTATGCGTTGGTGCTGCAGCCGATGATGGGTGGGACGTACGCCGGAACTGTCGTGTGCCGCGCGCCTAACGGCCGCTACACGTGGTACGCCGTAACGGTGGTCGTCAGCCCCCCTGAGAAGGAGGGCACGGTGGAGATCAAGACCGACGCGCGCACTCCTGTTACGGCCGATGTGACGATACAGAACCCAACCGACAAGCCGATCGTCTTCGCCGTGCAGCGCTTTGGCAGCGGCCTCTTCGGGGAGAACTCCCTCGTCGTCGAGGCGGGAGCCCCTGCAGTATACTCGCTGCTGTTCGTCCCGTCTCACCTCGGCACATTTGACGGGCGCCTCGCCTTCTGCAGCAACGAAGTGGGTGAGTTCTGGTACGAACTGCGCATCCTCGTCGAGGAGGCTGCGCCGGAGGAGATTACATTCGAGAGCGAGATTGGCGTCCCTGAGGTGGTGCAGGTGCGCATCCCCAACAACACTTCGGTTGAGCGCTCGCTGTATGTCTCTAACACGAATCCCCGCAACTTTGCGACGGCGCCAAGCCTCCTTACGATACCTCCCTACTCAGAGTTAACGGTTGACATTGTGTACACACCAACCGCGGTGAATAAGCCACAAGAGGCGACGTTGAAGCTGTACAACCCCGACCTCGGCGAGTGGCGTTACGTCTGCCGTGGCGTCGGCCATCAACCGGCGACCAGTGCGCCGGTAGAGTGCGTCTGTGAGGTTGGTGGAAACGTCTCAGTGACGCTCAAGATTAAGAATCCATTTGAGGTACCAATGATCCCTGTCGCGAAGCTCGAGTGTGGAAGCGAGGGCTACTACAAGTTGGGGCCTCTGCAGCAGCAGCAGCAGCAGGCAATGGCACCAGGGACGGAGTCGTCCATCTCGCTGACCTACGCACCCAAGTCTGTCGGCAATCATCTAGCCACTGTTCGTGTGTGTCCGGCGTCAACGACTGCGGAGGGTCTTCAGGACATCACGTGGGAGTTCCCGCTGCGAGGTGTTGCAGAGTGGCGGAGCAGTGATGCCTCGCTGCGGTTCCGCTGTGTGGCGCGCCGCCAGGTGGAGGATTCCATCACGTTGGAGGCGCCGGGGCTGACAGTGGAGGAGCAGAAGCGGGTCTCTGTTGGGCTGGCACTCGATCGCCAGCAGCAGTACCCCAGCGCCGTGCAAGCGAGTTTTCAAAGCGAGGTGGTACTAAGTGAGGAGAGAGGGGACGCCCTCACGGTGAACATACGCTTTGCGCCTTTGCGTCCCTTCATTGCCACCGCGGATCTTGTCGTGCGCTGTGAGAAGAGCGCGGTGTGGCGTTACCCCATCATCCTCGATGCTGTGCGTGCGGAGCCCGACGATGTGCTGGTTGTGAAGGCAGCCTTGCGCTCTGCATCGGCCGTCACCTTTGACATGTACAATGCATTTCCCCACAGCTCTCCGTTCAGTGCGTATTTCACCCCTGAGAGTTCCCGTGATTTGTCGGTGACGGTGGCGCGCGGTGTGCTGCGTCCGTTTATTGTTGGGCAGAAGAACCCGGCCGCTGCGACGCCGCTGCAGGTGGTGTTCACCCCGTCTGCGCGTGTGCCGCAGGTGGAGGGGACTCTCATCGTCGACACGGAGGAGATGCAGTGGTCCTTTAGGGTCGTGGGAAAACTCGAGAGCAAATCCGCGCACTAAGTGACGCCAATGGAGAGAGGTGCGTGGGAGAGAGAAAGAGAAAGAGAATGTAGATATGGAACTGTCCCTCATTGGATGTAAAAGGAAAGAGAAGAGAGCAAGTGATGGATACCCGAGGGGCGAAGGAGGAGGAGCAGAAGGGTTGCCAATGAGCATCGACGCGTGTGCGTGTGCGTCTTTGTGTCTCTGTGTGCTGGTGGTGTGAGGCTCTCTTTGTGGTAATAGGGCTGTCATCATTGCAGCTGCTGTCTTTTTTATGCTTTTCTCTTCCTCCCCTTCTTTGTTTCTCCGCCCATATCTCGCCCTCCACCACATGTGCCTGTTTGTGTGTGTGTGTGGGCCTTGGTGCAGTTGGGAAGGTAGTTGAATGGACGACTGGGAGAAGGCGTACGAGGAGGATAGGCGGCGCCTCGCGTTGGGCCAAGGCATCATCGTTGACGGGAGACGTGCTGGTAGTGGCGCTGGTGGTGGTGGTGTTGGCGGTGGTGGCAGCAGTGTAGAAATGAACCCCTTTGAGGAGAAGCAGCTGGAGCAGCAGGCTGCTGCTACTCCTATTCCTCCAATAGCTGAGGCGCCGAGCGTGCACGCGATGCATGGTCTCTCCCCAGCGATGTTTGAATCATCGACGGTGAAGCGTGACGATGCGGCGCCACACACCGCTGCGCAGCGCGAAGGTGAAGCTGACGTCGCCGAGATTTACGCCGCGTACAAGGACGATCCGGTGCCGCGCAGGCGTGGCATGGATGATGACGATGCCGGCGATAACGCCGCGAGCGCAGGTGCCGCGCTGCACGACGCCCGCTTCGGCCTGCACTGCCTTGGCACGGGGTGGAACCTGCACACTCTCTTCAGTGCCAAACTGGGCCGGCGGCTGTTCTTCGCTGAGGTCGTCAAGACATCGTTCAAAGGGTTTCTGTCGACCAAGGATGCCGTGGTTGGCTGCTTCGTGACACCGAACTGCATCTACATCGGCGACGTGGAGACGGCGGCGCTGGTGGTGTGCGTCGACATCCAGTGGCTGCTCGAGGTCTACGCGTTTGACGGCGTCGCGGTGGGGCTGCGGACGAAGGACGCGCTCGAACTCCACCTGCAGACAGCGCAGCACACACAGCGGCTGGTTGACATCCTGCAGAAGATCGTCGCGCACTGGCAGGCAAAGGTGAAGTTCATTCAGGCCACCGCGGAGCGCGAGAAGACGTTTCGGAAGGAGATGCGGCTTATCGACAAGAAGAGCCACACCTGGCAGGTCGTCGAGGACCCTCGAACGGGCCTCCGCATTCTCAACATCACGGACCAGTTCATCGGCATCCTCGCGCCAATTGCGCCCAAGATCCTGCACTGGTTCGGCTGGGTGCAGCAACCAAGGAAGGACTGGAAGGGCAGCAGAACGTTGCAGCGCCGCTGTGCGTGGGCGACGGCCACGTGCTTCTTTGTCGCGAAGGCGGAGGGCCCTGGCAGCGACGGACATGGCATCAGGCACTGCGTCGCGATGCAGTACATGACGGAGCTGTACGTCGGCCCCGGCGGCGAATTGGGCATTGTCGCTGCGAAGGGGCCTCCACAGCCACCAACAGTTGTTGTGCTTGACTCAGAGGGGGGCAAAAACGCCCTCATTTTTATTTTTCAGGAATGCTACAGTTATCGGAATGGTGGAGGGACGATAAAAGTGACTCATGTGAAGAGTGTGGAGGACGCGGCGCGCAGGGCAAACGGGTCAGGAGCGTCACGGCCGCAGCTCTTCCTCATGCGTCCACGTCGAGAGTTGTATGACTTTTTGCGGGGGCCTAGTGCAAAGAAGTGACCCACCGTTTGCATCCCGCTAGCAATGCACGGGCGAAGGGGCGGTGTGGTGACACTTTCTCTTGCTTCTTTGCCACAACAACATATCCAATAGTGTGATTTTGCTCTGGGCTCGGAGTTTTGTTGTGTGTGCGGATGTGCGTGCTTGGATGCTGGTGCATGTGTGGTGGGGACTGCTGTCTGTGTGTGCTGTCATCGCACTTTCCCTTCCTTCCTCTTTCTCGCCTTGTGCTCCATTGAACATGAGGAGGTAGTGGTGGTGGATGCGTCGCGTGACACCATCGAAACTTGTGCAGGTGAGAGGCGTACTGCTGGCCCGGCTGCANAACATGAGGAGGTAGTGGTGGTGGATGCGTCGCGTGACACCATCGAAACTTGTGCAGGTGAGAGGCGTACTGCTGGCCCGGCTGCAGCACAACAGCAACAGCAATAGCAGCAGCAGTGGCGGCGGTGTGGAGCTGCCGGACCCGCCGTACGCATTGCCCGCCTCGCCCCGCTTTGCCACGGAGCGGAGTGGCGGCTTCGACAAGAAGTGGCTGCAGCAGCTGCCCGCGTACAAGCCGCTGGTCCGCAACGGCGTGTACTTACCCAGCAAGGAGGACCTCTGGAAGGCACCAGCACACGAGGGGCTGGAGATAGTCATGGAGCACCTCCCTTACCACGATGCACTTCGCTACATCATGGAGCACAACTACTTTTTCCTGTTCGAGACTCTTCTCAAGGCCGGAGACGCGCCGCTGCCACACGTGATGTACGAAGACTTCATGAAGTGCCGCACATTCGCGTCACTACAGAACCCACCGGAAGAGCAGTTCGCGCTGCCGCCCACGCTCTTGCGGGCGCTGCTATGCATGGCGGCGTACCAGACCATTCTTGATCCTCACTACTTCACCACGTGCCGTATTTTCTTCCAGCGACTAGAGCAGCAGCAGACAATGACGCCTGAGGTCTTGTCGGCGTGGGTGTACTGCTGCACCACCAGCGGAAAGGTCGATGACGCCCTGACGTATGCGAGACACATGGCGGAGCACGAGGTCCCCTTTGACGAGACCGTCTTTTCACTCATGCAACACCCCTCAGTAAACCCGGTGGCTGCACAGCACCGTGCGGTACCGCACTCAGCGAAGGGCCTGCTACTGCAGCGTCGTCTGAGCGGGCGCCTGCAGACGGTGTATCGCAGCGACAGCGTGGCAGCGCACGGCATGTTTGTCTTCTACGCCCTGACGTTGAGCCACGTAAAGAAGTGGGAGGTGGTGCGTGCGGCAGCCTCACTTGGCATTACACTGCCGGAGCGGACACTCTCTCTAGCCGTTGAGGTGTATGCGCGGGAGAAGGGCCTTCGCTGCGGCCCAAAGACGGTGAAGGCACTCGCCATGTTTTTGGCACGTGAGGGCGCGGCGGGGCAGCTGCTGTACGTGCTGCTCCGTGCCCGGAAGAACGAACTCCTGCCGGAGTTTCAGGGGTTGCCGCAGACAGTCTTCGGCGAAGAGGAGAAGATGGCGATCCTGCAGTGCGTGGAGCGTCGGGCGCAGCACGACAACGGCTTTCGTGCGGCCACTCCGCTCGTCCGCGCATTGGTGCGGGAGGACGACCCGCGTACACTTTTCCGCGCCCTTGCTCGCACAGCTCGGGAGAGCAACAACAGCAGCACCAGTGGCTGTGATGGCGGTGTCACAGCAGATGCCGAGCAGAGCTTGAGCGCTGTTGTGGTGTCCGTGCAGAGCCTACTGCGCGACGTGGACGCGTTGGACAAGGCGAGTCGAGGCTCAACCTCCCGTGGGCACCAAACGGACGAGGAGAGGGAGGGGGTGGAAGTGGTGTTGCCCCGTGGCGAAGAGGGGGGTGTTGCGGGACCGCAGGAGCTGGAGGAGCGTGACATGCCGGCCGGTGTGCGCGAGCTCGTGAGGCTGCACCTGGCGGAGGCGGAGGGGCGGGCCACCAGAGCTGCGCGACTGCCTGCGGCGTGGGTGAATCCTGACGCTGCGCTGTAAGGCGTCTCGTCGTCGCCGTACTGCTGCTGCTGCTGCTGTTGTTGCTGTTGCTCCTGAGCGGGCGCCTGCCTCCTCCCCCCCCACTCTCTCTTTTTTCACACACCCTTTGCGGGTATTTATTGTGTACTGTGGGCCCAACACTTTTCTCTCTTGGGCTTCTGTTCATGCATGCTACTTCTGCTGGCTGCCTCTTCACAATCTCTCTGATTTTTTTGGTCGTTTTGTTGCTTGTGGGTGCAGCAATGACGTCATCCGCCCGAGCCCTCCTCGCTCGACTGGAAGTATACCGAGACGCCACAGGGGAGCCGTCGCCGGTGCTGCCGCTACCGACAGGCGTCCTTCTTGCACGTCGTGCAGCCCGCAGCGAGCAGCGTGCGGCGGCATTGCAGTCAGAGAACGACGAGCTGCGCGCGCAGTTGCTGCAGGTGCCACCGCCATCATCGTCGTCGTCGTAGTCAGCACCTGCTGCTGCTGCTACTGCTGGCGCGGCGGGCCCTCTGCTGGGCTATCGATACATCCTGGAGGGCTGCCGCCAGATGCTGGGTGCAGCCGACGCGCCGCTGCAGGAGGCGTCGTTCCTGCGTGACGCGCTGGTGCGTGCGTTGGATGCGCTCACCGCGCTGCGGTCTCTGGCCGCCACGTGCGACGCGATGCACGACGAGGACCTGCGACTGAAGAGGGAGGGCATACAGCTCGTGCTCGAGAACCACGTCGGGGATGTCCCCCTGGAGGACGCACGCGTGGCGGCGACGCGGCTGCAGCTGCAGTTCGACCTCCTCGGGGAGCGGCTGG